TGGCCACTGGGCAGTGGGGGTGGGGAGAAGCCAGCTGGGCCTAGGGGCCTCCTCCGGGTAGCCCCTGCCCCTTGTGGGAACGGTCCCTTCTCCTTCCACAAGACCAATGGATTTCTTTATACTGGAGGCCACAACAGCTCCTAAACTGACCTGCCCCAGCACACACACAACCAGACTGTGAAGTTGCAGTGGCCATTATGACTCTTTCCTACACATATGCCAGAGTGTTTCCATGTGCCATTCTCACATCACATCTGTTGAGCTTTAGGGAACATCACCTGAGTCTGGTACTTCGGGGCACAGGGAAAAAGCCACATCAAAGTCCTCCAATCTATACCCCACTAAAGGATGGTAAGACTATATTTAGGTAACCCTGGATTATGTTCCCACATGATCATGGCATGGTAACATATAAAAAGAGAAACTGGAGAAAACTCCTAAAAGACCCACTGTCCCCTCCATCAGGTCAGTCCCCCCTTTTGTCCTTCACGTCACCCCTCTTTATGCCTCCCTGAGGACCAATGCGCAAGCATTCTGGACATTTCTGTGGGCACGGACCCAGCGATCCAGAGCCACGTCCAGAATTGCCAGGAGGCGCTGCAGATGAGGGACCACCCTGGGCTTGAGATGCTGCTGGAGGAAGAGCAGGCCAACCTATTTGCTCCATGGCCCCAGCAGGCCCCTGCCCTGGTGCTGGTGGGCTGGGGCATGTGTGTATTTATTTATTCATGTTCCTGCAGCCCCGGGTCTGACTGACAAGGAGACCACCCAGGTGGGGGGCTCCAGTTTCAGGGTCAGGGCCCGAATCCTCCCAGAGGGAAGCTGCACTGGGAGGGAAGGCCTCAGGGAATGCATGGGGAAGCAGCCGGGTCACGCGGAGAAAGAGCCCCTGAAGGGGGCAGGGGTACATGCCTCTCTCAAAGCTCCTGGCCTGGTGGGAGCACAGAGGGCTCCAGGAGGAGGTAGCCGGGCCAACAGGTAGAGAGGCCCGTGAGGCCTTTGGGAGGGCCTGGAAGGGGCAAGACAGGGAGCAGGTCAGGGCAGAGTCCAGCCACCTCCCGGTAAGGGCAAAGACTCCTGGCACCTGGGGCCCTGGGCTCTGACTGTGGCAAAGTCCCTGCTGCTGCACATCTCTAGGCAACCCCCCACAGAGGAGGGGGGGGGGGTCGATGGGGCTGCCCAGGCCAGAAGGGCCTGGAGGGAAAGAAGGAGCCAAGGACAGGGGGAGTGACTGAGAGGCAAGCACCATCCCGGCCGCCCTGCAGGTGGCCTCCATGGTGACTCAGGGCCCCATGTAGTTGCACGTAGGGATGCAACTGCCTTCTGCCTCTGTGGGACACACCTGCTCAGAGGAGGGGTCAAGGACACATCCTGGGCGGGGGGATCTGCTTCTTTCACTGCTGACCCAGAGGGGGACCCAGGCCCTGGGCATCCCTCTTGCAGAGATGGGCACTGGGAGGTCCTGGAAGGGGTGTGTGGGGCGGGGGGGCATCCGTGGGGTCTGTCGCTGCCCTGTTCACTCACATCTTAGGGTGCTTCCGCAGCAAGCAGCAACTGATAATGAAGTTTTTCACAACAGGTAGAACATTCTTTTGAAAGCTGCTATGGAAGGACATTCTGTGGAAAAATACACAAAGGTGGTTTGCATCAAGAAAGAGGTTGCCAACTTCAGTTGCTTCTAAAGGAACTGCTGTGATTACAAGTTAAAAGTGGCTAGCAAGCAATTTGGAAGGATGGAGGGATTTTGAGGATAGAACTAAAACAATCCTCTGATGAATGAAAAATATAGACTCCAAAGATAGCATTCCCTGAGACACAGGCTTGCCCTCTGTGGTGGGCAGGCTTTTGGTCCCATGACCCTTGCCTCCTGGTGTCACGCCCACGAATGTGCCAAGTTGCATGACAGATGTAATTAAGGTTATTAATCAGTTGCCTTACAATAGGGAGATTGTCTAGGATTCTCTGGTGGGAGCTACATGAGCAAAGCCTTCTCCCTGCTGAAGCACAAAGGGAATTCAGAGAGATATGAAGCTTGTTTGTAGATGGAGGGGAACAAATGTGCAAAGGAATGTGGGTGGTCCCTAGGAGTGGAGAGTGGTTCCTGGATGGCATCCAGCAAGGGAATGGGGACCCCAAACTGACAACAACCTAGAACTGGAGTCCGCCAACAATCTTAGTGAACCGGGGAAGATCGTCCCCCAAAACCTCCGGAAAAGACCCCCAGCCAGCTGACTCTGATTGCAGCCTTGGGAACTATGCCATGCCTGGACTCCTGACCCAGGGCAATTATGCATAATAAATGGGAATTATTTTAAGCTTTTAAATTTGTAGTGGTTGGTTATATGAGGCTGGATTAGGTAGCCAGCATAGCATTCCTCTTGTAAATGCAGCTCCTTCCAATGGGTGTGGCCCATGGGTATAGCTTTCTCCACCGCACTGAGGCCCAGAGGAATGGTGGGCACTGGACTCAATGTCCCTCAGTCTCCTGTCTGCCTTTGGTCAACTTTCAACTGTTTTCCTGGCTCAGTTCACTACTGTGGTTGCAACAATGCACAGTTCGGCAGGGTTTTCCACCTCATTTGTCTTTCTTTACAAGGTCTCTTTCCCTATAGTCACTGACCAAACTCATTTCCTTCCTAGCACCATTGCTCATCACCACAAGCTGCATCTTTAAATGGCTGTGAGGCCCCAAGTTTTAGAATATTTTAGAGTTTTGTAAAACTCCACTTTTCTTTTTTCTTTCTCTTCCTCCATATTCCCCTCTTATTCCAGACCTTTTTTTTTTTTCTCCCCGACTTTTGATGGAAAGGTATTAGGATTGGTTCTACAACTTGCAGGTCCAGATCATCCCCCCCACACCTGAATCACCTGAGCAGGAACGGCTTAAAACAACGTGAACTTTCTCCCCCAGACCGGCAGATCCTCCTGGCATCTGTGAGGTCCAGCAAGGAGCTTAACAGCAGAGGACCCAGTTACCAAGTAACATTTTCATGCACGTGGTGACAAATAACAATACAACAAGAAAATTTAAGGTTCAGTCGTGGGAACCTCAGCTCTTCATTACCATGGACCAAAATATGGAATTGGTTTCCTTGACTTGATCCCCATGGTTTTAACTCATACCTCTTTCTGTTATAATTTCTCTAACTTGTATCATTGTCCATTGTTATGGGCTGAATTGTGTCCCCCTAAAAGGATATGTTGAAGTCCTAATCCCCAGTGCTTCAGAATGTGACCTTATTGGGAGACAGGGTCTTCACAAAGATAAAGACTTATAATGAGGTCATTAGCGTGGATCCAATCCAATAGGATGGGTGTCCTTATAAAAAGGGGAAATTTAGACACACACATGTGCACAGGGAGAACACTCTGTAAAGATCAGAGTGATGCTTCTGCAAACCCAGGAGAAACTAGGAGAGCAGCCTGGAGCAAGTCCTGCCCCAGTGCCTTGATCTTGGAATCCTGGTTTTGGACTCTGAGACAAGAGATTTCTGTTGTTTAAGCCACTCGGTTTGTGGTGCTTGGTTACAGCATCTCAGGCAATGTCATGCAACCCATTTCTTTATCACAGGCAGTCTTCCAGCTTAAGCCATATTTCCTTAATTGTAATTTATTTATATACCCTTCCCATGTAAAAATGAATTAGAATTTTTTAAATTAAGGCAGAGAAATTGTTAGTGAAAATACCTGATGTTTTGCATGGATTTTGCAAAAAATGTCCATGCTTGCTGTTCTAAATTTACATTCTGTGGTACCTGCACTGCCATCATGAGGGAAAAAAAACATAAAGTAATCTTTAAAAATGTAGAGATCTCCCCCATAACCAAATATACTATGAAAGATTTTTT